GCTGTGGAAACTAATAATGTCTCTATAGATATATATGGAGTCAATATCAGTGAGAAGACAGTAGGAAAGGTTGGTGTACAGGATTGCAAAGTGGATCACTAATGGCTTGTAGATATACTTCGTCGGATCGATTGATATGTTCACGCAAGATTACGGAAAATAACGCAAAACTGAATCGTTCAAATTGCTCAAACTGTTCGACAAATACCCTTTAATACACTTTTGAATTTATTTATAATTTTTCATATGTATGTTGTCTAATTAAATTACATAGCTTTAAGAGAAATATTGGTAGTCTCCTGCACAGTTTTGCTCTTTACTCTATTAATGTGATTTCTACGCTGATATTCCCAAACATACACAAAGACTTTAATATGCAATTTTTATCTGTTCATTTTTACTTGTTCCTCTTTAAACTTTGCATATCATAAATAAATGTATTGAAGTACAATCAATCACAACATGTTTGTCTGTTGGAAAAATGTGAGGTATAAATTGAAAATATCTATGCATCCCTGCTTTTGGCGGCCATTACATTTAAATTTAAATTAATTCTTATAAATACTTCAAGCAACCCATCGCAGCACCACAGCTTCATAGGGCATTAGGGTAATTCGTTTGCTCAAGTCCACTTTATCACTAAAATACAAGAGAAAATATAAATAAAATACTTCTTTCTTGCAAATGCCGTAAAAACATACCCGAATCTGTGCGGCGAGTAAGCGTTAAGTAAGACATACTCCATAGTTTTATTTGTCAAACCATATAAATACTCGATCTGACGTCCGAAGTTGGCAAGCACACGATACTCCTCAAGTTTTGGTGCCGTTCTGAAAGTAAATACTCCACATATTAAACACAAAAAGGCTTTACTTATATTTTTGCCCTCAACAAACCTAATAATTTGAAAGACTTGCTCTGTCAAAGCCTCATACGCGAAACCACCCTCCTCCTTGTACGATTTGAAAGCAAGCGTTTTCTTAAGTGCTGTCATACCTTTGTATATATTCAGTGTGCTACGTGCAACGCCTCGCTGTCGCTGTACATTGAGTGTCTTGAAATTTGAATTGACGGGCAACCATGTTGAGTTGCCTGTGCTGAAACCGCCATTTTTTGCAGAACTCCACTGCAGTGGTGTCCGTACGGGGTCACGGAAGTCGCAATTGCTGGGCGTACATTTAGTGTCATAATCGGTCATACCGATTTCATCACCCTAAATTGCGCCAATGAAAATTAGCTTAAAATTTTCTAAGAAAACTACAGTACTTACATAATAAGTAACGGATGTGCCAGGCAGAGCGTGTGCTATAATCGTCATCATATCAGCTCGTTTTTCACCTATGCGCGTCGCCGGGCGACTGTTGTCATGATTGCCGAACACCCAGTTGGCTGTTTTGTGTTTGGTCCATATAACATCCATCCAACTATTGGCAAATCTTTCAATGTCTTTCGCATTCATATTGCTTCTCAAACTTATAAAGTTGAAATTCATGGGCAGTTGAGTGCCGAAATGGGTGCCATTGCTGATATAGTCGCTTAAAATGTCGGCAGTTGCATAAGCTTCAGCCACCATAGCGCTGAGGGGCAGAGAAACATTTCGGCTTAAATCTTATATTTATGATATTTTAGGTCTATAACTATATTCGTGCTTCTATTTAAAATTAATTTCTATTTAAAAAAATCATGTACAGTAGAGTTACTCAAAGCTGTAATATTTCCCCATCTTTCTGGCAATTTGCTGTTACAATTCAAAGAATAAATCAAATCAATTTTTTGTACGTTATTCTGTTGTTAATGTTATTCCAATGAAAGCGTTTTGCATCGACCGGAACAAAAGGTAAGCATAAGGGAGAAGGTCTGCGCTATAAGGCGGTTGAGGCAAAACATCCCAGCCGCTACTTTCCAATAGTTCTCAATCGGTCTTGCGAGATGAGGGCGAGCGTTGTCATCATAGAAATTGTTTGTCTTGTGTCTAGACGTAAATTCCAGGCATTTTGCGGCAGCCGCTGGCTCCAATTTGATGAGTATTTGTCGGTTTAACCCAATCTTTATCGAGTAGAGCTTTTTTATCTTTAAATCTTCTGGAAGCCTAGGATGTTCTTCCTCTTTCAAGCCAAAATCAACATTTTTAATTCGCGCACACAACCTTTGCCACTTTCGAAAACTATCACCTTCATATTAGAGTAAAGAAGGATAACTCCCCGCGAAAACCCCTTTTCAGTCACTAATGTTGACATATTTGAGATAAAAAAACAAACGCCTCAAATCAATTCATTCAAATCAGTCATTGAAAAAGACGCACAAGAACCGTAGCTTTCCAGCCCACATTTAGAATAACAATCGAGTTACGCCATCTTTTGTATAGTCACACAAACATACTTATATACCCAAACTTGCATTACAGAAAGAAGCCTCACCGTGTGTCGCCACCATGTTGACGCTGGTACTCGTCTAAAACCTCACGCCATTCGTACAATATCTCCAAATTCTCGGGCTGATTAAATGTGTAAATGTGTGAGTGGTACTTGTTACTATTTGTGTCGTTAGTAATTCCACTAACTGGCTCGTCTGGATATGTGCCATTCGCTAAGCGCATTTCAAAAAAATGTGGCACAGCATCGATGCGAAAAGCATCGACGCCGCGCGCCAGCCAAAATTTCATAATATCGATTAAACGTTGGCGCACCATTGGATTTCTAAGATTCAAATCCGGTTGCTTAAATAGAAACCAGTGAAAATAATACTGTTGGCGCTGCTCGTTCCACGACCATGCCGAGCCATTGACCTCCGAATTCTGTGCGAACATAACACACATTTTATAAATTGATTCGTGCATTATATACTGCAGTTACTCACCCAATTGCTTGGTGGTATACGTACACCCGTTTGTGGATCTATCTTACCGTCGTCCCATATATAGAAGTCATCATAACCATCCTCACGTCTTATAGACTTTTGAAACCACTCACACTCGTCACTCGAATGATTTGGCACAAAATCTAGAATGATCTTCAAGCCTAACTCATGCGCTTTTGCCACCATAGCATCAAAATCCTCCATTGTGCCGAACAGTGGTTCAACTTTCGTGAAATTCGAAATGTCATAACCCATATCGGCCATTGGTGACTCGAAGATGGGCGACAGCCAAGTGGCGGTCACGCCTATTTCCTTGAGGAATGCCAGCCGCGACGTAATGCCATTCAAATCACCCACACCGTCGCCATCACTATCCATAAAGGAGCGTGGATAGATTTGGTAGAGCGTGGCCGACTCCCACCAATCGACATCACTGGCCGCGAAGGCACTGCAAGCACAGAGCAATAAAATTTGTATTATACGAAGTGAATCGGAAGACATCGCGACAAAAACTAAGCGTATCTGCGAGCAACCACTATTGGTTTTATATCCCCCGACAAGACCAGTCATTAACTGCCAATTTATTAGCCTATTGTTTTTGGAGATATAACTGTCTTAACCTTTATCGTCTATAACCATATTATCCAGACATCTACTTGTACATATGTTCAGATCTAATAAAAAAAACTACTTCAAGCGGGAGTTAAAAAAACAAATATATATCCTCATAATCTTATCAACATTTATGGTGCAAAAAACTGTGGAAATGTTCTGTAAAGAATTAACATCTTTGTATTTGGGCCACGCATATTCATAGTGTATCTAACAATTATGGTTTTATCAAATGCCAATAGGCCAAAGTTGTTTAAAAGCTTCGAGAACTTGGGCTATTTAGCAATAAGCACGTGTGTTAATTAGGTTTACGAAATTTTTATTTGAGTTATTCAAAAATGCTCTTTCATATAATTTTTGTTTTCTTAATATTCAAACTAGCTGCAAGTTGCATTTTTATAAGCTAAACTTTGCGTGAAACACGTGTGTTGTTCTGCTGGTTCCTTTATCCACAACACACAAATATCTTCAAAGAAGTCGCCAAGTTATTGACAATCTTGCTTGCATTTAAGTAAATTAAATTTCTTTATAATGTCTCAGAGCGCATTGTCTTTGCCGCTGCCGTTTGCTGCAAACTTATTCGATTTTTATGTTTGGCTTACATTTGAACGTGAATTTGTTGTCGAAGAGATTTGCGATTTTGACCTTCGTAACTTGTGACTGTATGCTGTCACTGTATGCTCGACAATTGTGAATATATGTAAGAGAATATGTTTTGACTTTCTGCTGCGCACTTACATTAACTTTATTGATCCACAGGGCACAGGAATTTCATGGATAAGACACAGATATACCCTATACATATACACTCTCATATATATACTCATACACATATAGGTACAGTAAGGGACAAAAGTGTTCACGAATATATGTAATTATAGCTCCGTTGTTATTTCATTAATTTGCCAACAGTCTGGCAAAATTTTTCTAATGTAAATTCATAAGCGTTGATTTAATCCCAGCTGGTAACGTTTTTTTAAAGTAACGGGACTTTTACTATTTCTTTGAAACGAAGAACACAGAAAGAGCGTCTGAACAGTTTTGTCCGCTGTTAAATTTGGTGCGAAATTGCGTATCAAGTTTAATGTTAGTGCGAGAAAGTTGGATAAATATACTCTTTTTAATTATTTATAATTCAAAAAGTTTGAAATATAGCAGTTTAATAACTTGTTAGTAGCTTTATAATGAACAAGGCGTAAATTTTGCTTTGATTAAAAACGTGCTAGAAGATAAAAAAAAATTTGTTTTTTTCCGAGAAATCGTGAAAAATTATAAAGTTTCGCTAGTCCTTATCAATAAAATAAAAGTAAAAGATAAAACAAAATAACAATTTTACAGTGACACGAAAAAGTGCAGGCCCTACACAGAAGTTGTCACCAACTGTTGCACGAATTGGCAAATGCTTGGTTGTTGCAGAAGCAAAAACTAGCGCTGTGGAAACTAATAATGTCTCTATAGATATATATGGAGTCAATAT